AAAAAAAAAAAAGTTTTCAAATGAGTACCTACAGGCTCCTCAAAGCCAGCCTCTTCCTGTTTCTCTGCCTTAGAAACAGGTGAAAAACAGCCTGTTAGCAAATGTGGGTGGCAGCTGCCAAAACCAAGCACGAGCAGCAAAATGCATCCACCTCTTGGGGCGGGGACTGACTAGAGGACCCACGTTGTCTTGTTAATGACTGACACAAAGGTGAGGGGACTCCTTCCAAGTGGCAGTGCTGCTGGGGGCTGGTTCACCTCCAAGCCCACCTCTGCCAAGCTTCCTAGCAAACCCTGAAAGCCACTCCTCCTGAAGATACCTTTATCCTTGAGATGCAGAGTGACCAAGAGTGCGTTGACTGTGTGAATGAAGGAAGCACAGACTCTTGTGGTTTTTTTAGGCTCAGAATCACGATATTTTCTTAATGTGCCTTGACAGAATCCTGAAGTCAAATGGCCCATCTACAGTTTGTTCTAAATTCTGTATTTGAGGACCTTTGCTATGTCATTATAATCACATCTATCAACCACCCTAACTTATGATTCATATTCTGTACTTGGAAATGGTCCCTGCACTTAATACTCACACATAATCTACTATTACAACCTATGTGATCACAAAACACCACATTAATAATCTTCTGTAAGCCACAATCATAGACAGAATCACCAAGATGAGAAAATGTGCACACCACCAATAGTAATTCATAAATGCACACACTTCTTATAGCAGGACTAGTTTCGGGAAACTCGCCATTTGTTGAGTGTCACTGCCAATTAGCATAATTTGCTGAACTGCTGCTCCAGGTATTTTTGTTTGGGAAATCTATCACAGTGGAGCACACCTGTGGATTAGGTGAGCAGCAAAGATACACTTGTGACAATCAGAAAGTTTAGAGATTTTTTTCAACTTATCTAAAAATTTACATCAGAGAAATGTAAATCAAAATCACAACAAGGTATCACTCCAAATCCATTAAAATGACTCACATTAAACACACACACAAACAGAAAATAGTAAGTGTTGGCATGGATGCAGAGAAACTGAAACTTTATACACTACTGCTGGGAGTGTAAAAAAATACAACTGCTTTGTAAAACAGTTCGGCAATTCCTCAAAAAATTAAAAACAGAACTACAATATGACCCAGCAATCCCACTTCTAAGTATATATCGACAAAAATCGAAAGCAAGTCCTAAAGAGATATATGCACACCCATGTGCATAGCAGCACTATTCACAAGTGTCCTCTGACAGAGGAATGGATAAACAACCTGGGG